CTGTCAGGTAAATGTCTAATGAGGTGTGTTTGCTTGCAAAGGAACTGAGCATGACCTAATTTAAGGTGATCTGGTGGCACAGAGTTCTTGCCTGATTTCGCTCTTCCCACAGGCTTGTATTTTGCAATCCAGTGTTTCAGCTTAGACCCACTGTTCAGAAAGACATTTGAAAGCAGGGCAGAAGGAAATAATTTTCACATTAACTCACCTGTGTTGTGAGGGATTCTGTTTTTTCTGTTAAAGATGATGAAATTGCTAACACCAACAGCTCCCTGCCCTTCATTTAGGGATTAGTGACTTCATCAGCACAAGCAGAACAAACACAGAGAGCTGAACTTAGATCTTAGCAAGTTCAAAGCCTCCCAGTCCAAGATGAGAAAGCAAGGAAACACTCACAGCAGTGACAGTGTTTGAGTCTTTTAACAAATGAAGGGACCTACAAGCTAACATTAAAGGCTTGGGAGTTGATCAGCTGAGTGCTTCCCTGGTGTAAACCTGGTATTCTTCCAATTCAAACAATGGAAAAGGGGCAAACAAGAAAAATTCTTGGTAGAAAATGTGATTAGATGAAGCAAACACTCTAAACGACTCTCCTATAACTGCAGTTCATCACACCATTAGTTTCTTAACAGCTTCACCATTGAGACGGCCTCTTCCCCAGCGCAGTGCCATGCCAGCCAAATAAATCAGCTTTACATACACAACTGTCAATCAGAACTGCAGCTCCAGCCCTCTGAAGCTAAGCTGGAAGGCTCGGTTGAAAGGGAGAAGGAAGAGAAGCCTGAAAAGGCAGGTGGAAACAGGGCAATGAGGAAAGGAGGATGTAGCCAAATAGCACTGGACTAATACTTGGAGGTTTCCAAGAGCCCCTACAGAATAGAAGGGCTTGCCAAAAGCAGTTTGTAAGCAAAGGCCTTCATGTCTCTGGCCCTGTTGTTGAGATTAAATGGGATCATTGGGAATAATGGTGAAGTGGAATGCATATTTAATTAGAGAAATCAATGAACCCAAATGACTGGGAGGGAGCAAATCATTAAGACCCAGCTCCTGCTGCCCCTACTCAGCAATATTTCAGACTGATGGCATTGTGAGCAGGTCTGGTGCATGGAACACCTCTAGCAAAGCCGAGTGGACTTTTGTGGTTGCTGTTCTGCACATGGAAGTGCTGTGAAGGGAACAGGGAGCAGGCTGCTCTGCTTGCATCAAAGCCACCATGTTCAGAAACAAGAGCAATTACTAGGAAAGAATGAGATTACTCAGCACTGGGGCATACCTGAAACTGTCAGGCTCTAGGGTAAGTCACAAAGGGGTATGGTCACAGCATAGACACATCAGGCTCTTGAAGCAGGATGAAATAAAAATCTTGATTTTTTTTTTTTTTTTTCCACAGCAGTATTGCTTTTGGAAGCTCGCTGAAAATTATTTGACAGATTTCTTTTTGTCTGTAAACTTTGTTTTGTCAAAAAAAATTTACCCCTGGATATGTCAATTATGGAGAAAAAAAAAAAATCACAGTAGAGATTTTTCTGAAATGTTTCAGGGTTTATTTCAATATTGGCATCTCAGTGTTTATTTCCTCTCATACGATTTTAGAAAGTGTATAGCAGAAAAGTGAAAATAAAAATCAGCACCTAGCTTCTGAGTGAGTCAAAGCAAACAATGTCAACTTTTCATTACTCCAGGCATTTTCACTCCATTTTCTTTCGGTTTTGTTATATACTGAAATAAATTTTTAAAAAAATATATATATTATTCCTGGTCAGCTGTGTTATTTAGTGTTCAGGCAACTTTAGGAAAATGTCCCTTGACTTCATACAATCAAATTTAACATGGGCACCAGATTATTTTAGGTGTTTACAGACAGGGAAGCAGAGTTGACATTTTCTGTAACATATGCAAGAGCTAACTGGCAAAATCATTAAGTTTTGCATTAAGTAACCTTGTAAATCTGTTTGGTTTGTGGTTGTGGGGTTTGGGGGGGAGGGGAGATATGAAAATTAACCAATAAAATACTTCACAAAAATTGTGTTGATCTCAAACAAGGAAATAATTTATTGAAATACTTTGGAAAAGCTTGACTATGTAACATGCCCTATACCTCCCCCTAGAACACTGTGGAAAGGAAGGAATTATCTTGAAACAACATTTTAGGATTAACCGAGCTATTTTGCCCAAGGCATGATTTAAGGAACACTCTTACTTAACACAATTCGTGTTACCGTTTGCATAAGAAATCCTACTCCACAGATGTTTCTAGTGTAACACCACTGAAGTCAGTGCATTTACACCAAGGATGAATTTGCCCTCATCTTGTCTTCTTCACTTGATTTTTTCCCGTGAAAACCAGATTTACCCACAATTACTTATTTATCGGGTCTAAAACTTTGGCACCACTTCAAAAAAGCATTAAAAGTTGATTGCAAGTGTTCCTGCTCAAGTTGATATCTGTTAACCTAAAGCAGTGCAACGTTAGTGATTATTTCAATTGATACTTCTAGATTAAATGATCCGGCCTGCAAACCAGCTGAATTAAAAATAAAAAGTAGCATTTACATATTAATTACCTAATTTCTCCATTTGAATCTATGCAGTGTAACTACCATTGACTCATAATCCAGATCCTGAAGTATTTCTGGTAATACAAAGACTTTGTACCCTGTGTTTTGGCTTCTGTGGGAATGGCTTGTAGCTTTCTGAAGGCAAGATGCTCACCTTTGCTTGTAGCAATTTTTGTTTCTTTATCTAAAATAAAGGGGGATCGTTTTTTCTTTTTTAAACAAGTAAAAGACAAAATATATTGGTCTACAAATAAATCTAAAGACTTATAAAGACTTTTCAGTATTGCTAAAATGCTTTTAAACTCATCTGTCACCAGCTCTAAGGGTATTTTAGAATGTGTTCAATTTACTGGAAGAAATGGACCTACACATTTAAAATTGAGTCAGTATTATGTATAACTGATAATTTTCAAACTATAGCTGATAAAAATATAGTTTTAAATTATTTTAAAATAGTTGGCTGTATATATGTTCTTACCTTTATGTATAAGCTCCCACATTTTGACATGTTCTGACCAGTGCTACTGAAACCAAACCCACAGGGAGTTAGAACTTTTCATAACAGTCCTGACCCAGAATCCTTCAAGCCTGGTATTTTGGGTTCGGGTTTTTTTCTGTATGTATACACCTAGGCGGCAAAGATATTCATCACAACAACCAACTACCCAGACTGAGATTTCAATCTTATTTACAACAGTATAAATCAAAGTAACTTCACTGAGGCCAAGGGAGTTACTCCGGATTTACATTCATCGGTGTAACAAATATAAAACATGAATTAATACCACTTAGGACATTGCTTGATTATTTTTTCACTGAAAATATGATGGAAGTTTCTTCATTTCCAATAAAAAAATTTCTAATCTTTTTCACACATCTTCAGTGAAGTGTATATTAAATTTTGAACAGAATTCCAATTTTCTGTGGAAAACCTAATGTTATATTTTTACAAAGAATTCCATTTACCTGAAAGCTGTTTTCTTCAGGAAAACTACTCTGATGGAAGTTTTCTGACCTGCTTTAAGCCAAACTCATAATTCATACAAATAAGACACTGCTCAGCAGATGTTCAGGAAAGAGCAAGCCAGTGAGCAAGCACATCTGCATCCCCGTGTGGTTACACTTTGAGGTTCTTGGTGTAGAAAACAGGAAGGAGGATACAGTAGCTAAGGTGGTATGAGAGCAATGAGAGTAATTGGGGTTTAATTGAGTAGTGCACCTAGTTTTTGTTTGCAGGAAAATAAAACCATGCCAAAATTCATTTCAGATTAAATAAAATAGTACTGTTTCAACTCTTAAGGAAACCTTCCTGAGCATCCCTTACCCTAGCTGTTTTGAAGTCATGTTCCTTTTTAAATGAAAAATAACAATTTTTAAAGTTAGAAAATGTTGAACTGCATAGCTGTAACTGTTCATGAAGTTTGAACTGAATTTTTGAATTGCCTTTCACAGTGAATAAGGTGATTGCATGAGAAAAATCTGAATCTGAAGAAGACTCAGAAACCTTAGCTGAGGATCAGGCTCACTCTGTGGTTAAGGATAAGTCAACTAGGCCAGACAGGTATCTGGCTCCCAGAAAAGCAATATTTTGAAGATTTCAGCCACAGCGTCTCTGTATTAATTCTATAATTATATCATTGGATAAATATATGAAGGACTGGCTGAATTAAGGTATGTGCACGAATCTAAAGAGCAGGGCCCCAACGTGTTGCAGTGCTTTCTCCACTGGAAGCAGTGCAGGCAACACCTGCCAGTATTTCCGCAGAGGCAAACCTCGCTCGCTCTTTCCCCCAAAACATGACATTACCCACAGAATATAAAACGCCTACAGGATATAAAAAAAACATTTTCCCATGTCATGTCTTAATTCCCCTTCTATTTTCTAGATGCAAGGACCAACACCACCCAGGGTTGGTTCCTTCTCTCTCTGCAGCCTTGCTTTGTGCGCTGCTGAGGGCAGGCCGGGCGGCGTTCCCGATGGACGCCGCTGTGCTGTCTGTCAACCGAGATGGATGGGCTCTGCTCCCGCTCTGCCCAGCCGCCTCTGAATGCTCCCAGCTCCCGCGAAATGGCCAGAGCCGCTGAATCGCAGCCATTGATCCACTCTCCTCCCTCCTTCCCTCTCTTTCTCCCTCTTTCTTCCCTGCGTTGCCTGAGGGTTCACTTGGCTGGCTGAAGGGCTGCCTTGCTGTGGGCAGGCTTTGATCCCAGCTCCGGTGCTGGGGGGAGAGAGGGATGCAGCGAGGGGTGCAGGCTGGTTTTGGTTTACAGTGCGGGCTTTCTGCAAATGCAACTCGTTAAAATAAAAATAAATAAATAAAATCAAGCGGCTGTGGCTGCTGTCAGAGCCCTTCCATAGTAGCTGGGTGCATCTGCTTTTTCTCACCTCCAAAGCAAATCAATATGGCTTTAAATTATTTTCCTGATGCCTGGATTCCTTACCTTGTGCTGCTGTTAGCCCAGCCACGCAATTGCCTGGTCATTCCTACCTCATCTTTTCAGTCTCTCTCCCCTGGCTGCTTCTCGTCTTCTCTTAAAAATACATACAAAATACTCACTGGAGCAGCTCTGTTTTGCTCATGTGTCATTTTCTCACACACGCTTGCCATCGCTTGCAGCCACACACACACTCACCGCAGTGCTTTAATACATACGCTGCCTGGTTGTATCTCCATCCTTGTCCCCCGTACACACATGCTGCCTAGCTGATCCCTGCCGAAGCAGCATCTGCTTGTCAGGAGTTTTTCTTCTGATGCGGTGGTTAGCGAGGAAGTGCTCATGTTTACTTGCAACTCTGTCCGACAAAGATATTCATGCTTAGACAAAAGTAAATTTAAAAATTAAATGATCTCTTGCATTCTGGGTGGGTTTTCTCTCCCACACACCTCCATCACCCTTCCCCCCTTAGGGCTGGTATATCTGAGTGTTAACGTACCACTAGTGCTAAAAATAAAAGAACTCCACACAGATAAACCCTTGCTTTGGGGACTGCCTCATTTTTTCTATATCCTGCCTATTCTTGGATTTGAGTGGTTCAGTACACGAGGTATTGCTGACAATATAAAAAGCTCTCAGAAATGCTTATGCATCATCTGAATATATTGAAGTACAAGTGATATGCTCGCAGGAACCCGCAGCCCATCAGTGCAGCCAGCTGATGCAGGAGCCCCCCGCATCCCCTTATCACTTCAGTGGTGCACATAAACACATTAGCTGCTTATTCCAGGCACAACCCTCAGCTTACAAATCTAAACTGCTTTTGCCAGCATCATTGCCCTTTTTTTATTTATTTATTTTTACTGTGTATTCCTCTTTCACTAATTTTGCATTTTGAGGTGCTTTTATACGCCTAGTCACCCGGTTCAAGTATCTAGGAGATCATTACTTGCTTCTGATTAGCACAGTGCATTTGAATGGTGTGCTGGAGGCAAAAATTTAAAATGTATCAAAATGCAAATATGCCCCCATTGACCTCTGGAAAAATGTGGTACATTACAAAGTACTTTCAAAGCCTGAAAGGAAGAGGAGAGAGAGTATGAGTTTGCAGAGGTTTGTGATGTTAAAAAAATTAATCATGAATGGTTACTTAGAAGTTTGCATTCTGTGCAATACAGAAAGCTTTTTTTTTTATATTCTTTAAAGAGAGACTGGAGTGACCAGATGATGATACTCCTTGCCCACTTTGTGTCTCACTCTGCTTGCTTTGCTAGAAGAACCACTGAAGTGAATGGGGTTGCTTGTGGTGCATATTTTTTCAGTCTGCCAGGATTCAAATATGTAGTCTAATATATGGCAGTGGCCCAGAAAGAGAGACACAGAAATTATTCATGATCCTTCTTTCAGAGTGAAAGATTCCTTCTGTAACCTCAGCTTAATGACTCTGCATTTAAGAAGTAAATGATTTTCACCAAGAAAAGTGAGAGGCAGCCAAAATTGCCTGGAGAAAATAAGGGTGGTGTTAAGACAAGTGACATCCCTGCAGTGAGGTATGCCCAAGAGCTGCACTGGGGAAAAAGATGCAATGTTACCCAAGTTATTTGAGCCGGTTGCTCTTTTACCCTCACCAGTAACAGTGAATATACTCTTTCAGTAGAGAAGACTGCAGCTAGGTATTGGATTACACTAATGAAAAAAAATAGTCCCTCACACCAAAAAGAACATTTATGGCTTGGCTTTATCCTTAGTCTCCACAGTGATTTTCTGCAAATACTTGTTTGCCATGAGGCATGACTCTTCTCTAATCTCCTGACAAAAATGGTGGTTTCCTCTCAAACCAAGTAAAATGCTGTAAGGCAACCTACCCTATCCAAGCAAGAGTTTGTATTATAGTTTAGTATTAGCTCAGTGGTTAAATTAGCACTGCTGCTGTAACGAGGGAAGTCATTACAGCATCCTTTGACCAGTCCCCTCACTGCGTTACGCATTGCTGCTGGTCACTGTCCAGGGACGGAAGGAAAACCGCATAGAGGAGCACAACTGCTTTTGCCTGCACTCAGCAGCACATAGTTTTATTCTTCAGGCCTTACGAGTATCTAATGTGATAAACACAACAGAGCAGCAAAAGGAAAGGAAACAGCCATAGCTGAGATGATTGCTAGCATATAAAAATCATGCAGAAGAAGAAGCAGCATATGACCACCCCCAGTCTCCCAATGGTTGTTGTGCCATTGCTTAGCTACTTTCTCTGTCTCTGGCTATTGCTTCATTGCACTTGGTCATAAACGAAAGCTATCTAATGCTAATGACCATGGTGCCCACCCTAATCATGCATTTGAAATATTAATAAAAATAATTTATGTCATGTGACTGCTTTTTAACTAGCTGCTTTCAGGACTTTAGATCAGGATTATAAAAGATGTGCATTTATAAATTATTAGCCTTGAGCACATAAGCACTGCATACTATGGGGAGCACTTTTGTAGCACTTTAAATTAATTTATTGTTATTCATTCCAGCTGTCTGTGATGTAAACCTTTGGCTATAAATTTGTACCATCATCCAACACACCATTAAACTAAAGTGGTGCCCGTGCTGAAGCATATAATAAAACATATGAATAAGATTTCTGTGGGGACACTTTTTTAAAACTCTCTTCTCAGTTAATGACACAAGAAAAGTGAGATAACATAGTCAACCTGTAACTATGCATTCATTAAATATGGCTGGTGGGGGGAGACTTTTAAATCTGCACTTGCATTGAATTTTGACTCAATGTTTTTCTTTACCAGATTGTTTCAATTCATATCCTATCTCGAGCAAAAGGCTCTGTCTGAAGCCATCATGAAGTCACTAGCTAAGACTGCCAGAGGATTTTTGTTGGACCTGAACTTTTCAGTAGTGGAAATACCTCCTGACCACTAAATCACAGCAATACAAGAGCAGAGCAGTTTTACTGTCTTATCTCCTCTGCAGGCAAACATTCTTTCTCCTACAGATCACCATAAGGGTAACAAAACCTTATCTGCGTGACTAACACCATAATGTCTTAATCCACTTAACAGTGTAGATATATTTTGTACAAACCCATTGGGATACAATTTCCTAAACTTTAAAGCAAGTTGTGATCATGCAGTGCTCTAGCAAGCAGAGTAAGAACCACCCATTGCTTTGCTCTTGCCATATAGGTCTCCTCTAGCTCATGTGCTTGTTAATACTTTCTGTCACTTTTGTGACAGATAACTTCTATCAAGCCTGTTTGAAGGCAGCCCTGCCCATCTCAGTCTTCCACTGATATCAGTAAGAGTTTGGCTGATAATTTCTCATATTTACGCTCCTAATATTGAATACAGCTACATGAAAAAAGACACCAAAAAAATGAATGTCAGATTCTCAGCTGACATAATACAGCACAACTCCCTTAATTTGTGCCAGCTGCTCATATAGCCCATGATTTTCAGGTCTAAATCTTTCTGAGTTATTCACGCTGTAGCAGGGCTTTTGGAAACTTCACTGAGAGCAGAAAATGGTACTCAAAAATAGTATTTTTTTATTATAACTAATCTCATTAATATAAATACTAGCTTGATGGTGTAAAGGTTTATTTTCCTTCATTCCTAAATCTATCTGAAATTTCAAGGTTTGGGCATCTGAGTCTTTGATTTGGGATCATCTCTAAACAGCCAAGAGGCAGGATGTCTGAACTATTTGGGAGTATGTGTACACCAGTAACTGCCCTTCTTATGCAAAAATTAACAATTGATGATAGGAAGATTATATAGAAAAATACTACCTTACCAGAGAATTTTGTTTTGATACAGGTATCTAGTTCAATTGTCCAAAATTACTGAAACACATTTAATAGAAACTTCAAAAAGGAGCCTCTAGCACATCCCAGAACTGAATTCTGCTCCAGATAGTTGAACCACGCTGGTGCTCTTACAAAAAGATTGGTACTGCTTGGATGAAACATACCAAAGTATAAATAACATATGGACAGTCTTTCTGAGTCTGATTTTCATGCCACAGCAAGACCCTCACATGGGATCTGCACAAGAAGGAAAGATGGTTGTGGGGTAGAGTACACAGAAATAACCTGAGCTTTATTTACAGTTTTGGGAAAAGAAGGTGAAAGATCAAATTTACCTATTCACGTTATCCCCAAACAAAATATAAAGCACTACCAATTTTCACTTTTATATCCCTTTCAATGAAAAAAAAACCCATGATTATGGCCATCTTCTGCCTGTTTACGGAATGTCTTCCAGTTTCTGTCTATATGTAGGGTCTTCATCTGATAACTAGAAAACAAAGAGTTAATAGTTTGAGCATCCCTGGCACAGGAGATTAGGACAAGAGATATAAACCAGGTGCCTGAGATGCAAAAGGATGCTGAGTTAAATGGTGGATTTTAGCTGTTCTTTTAGCTGTGAGTCTGAAGACCTGGATGGTTACAGCAGTCAGTGTTGTTTCGGGCTCTACCTTCCTGCAAAGATTCTCTAGTCATACTGAGTTTTCTTTGAATGAAGACATGCCCTGCTACTTCTAGCTATAGGGTGAGTATTTTCCAACACTTTTTATATTCTGTCTGACAGTATATGAAGACCAGGTCCTGTTTTTCTACTGATAAACTGATTTGGAGCCATTTTTCTAAGATAAAATATTATTTACTTGACTAAAATTTTTTTTAACTTACTTAGCACCAAATAAGAAAACTTGCTTGTGTGAAAAAAGGTATGTAGAGCTTTCCTTTTTATTAATTGATTTATCACTGTCACTTGATGTGTTTTAAATTATTTAAGGAGACCTTCCTTTCTTGTAACACATATCTTATAATTACTCTGCAACTTAGATGGTCTCAAAAGAAGGGATTGTGTTGTGTTTAAGTTGCAGCATTAATCTCCCAGCTGCTAATTAATCTGTTCAGTTATCTGTGCCTCCCTTTCCTTACTGATTACATAGAAAGAAGGTGCCTTTTTTATCTTCTTTCTTAAACTGTATTCCTGTAGGAGTTAGCTGTATTGACTTCATTCTATCAATGTTTTCTCAAGGTGCCTCATGGAGGAGAAGAGGCGCTTCCCTTCAGTTTCC